AATTCCTGCTTGCAAAAGGAAGGAATCAAGCCTTACTTAGTCTCTCTTAAGGTTTTCATCATTTGAGCTCTCACCAGTTCTTGCTTCATAATGTCAAAGTCTCGAACCTTGGAGGGTATCCAGGGGCAAATTCAAAGGCGCACAGCATCTAGCTTGATCCTGAATCCACAAAACCAGCTGTCTTCCTGTCTTAGAAACAAGTCCTGTATAAATAGAGAATTGGAGATGTCACCCTGCCTTTTTCTTAACTGTAACCATTTTCAAAAGTGAATATTGGATATAAAGTTTATAAACACATGACTTTGCTTGTCGGAAGTGTTCTCCCTAGAAGGCTGTTTATCTTGAATAAAATGCTGCTCCCATGCTGCCAGTTTCCTTTTCAGTGTTGACTTCAGAAGCAGTTTACCAACTACACTGGGAAGTCAGTTATTACTTTACTTTCGTAGGAACCATTCTATTGTCCCAAACTTTGTGTCTCCTTATATCACACCTGAGCTCTTATCCCTCCCTCCTCTGCCATCTGGGGGCGTGGGAGGCAGATTTCAAGGGGAGGAAGGCTGTGAGCATGGACAGAGACCTGGGAAAACCTCAGTGCCATTGGGAAGCAGGAGGAGTGCCAGACTAAGTTGATAACATGAATGGGATGGACTCTGCCATGAATGGGAACTGTACCAGAAGTTCAGTAAGGGGAGTGGGGGGCTGCTTGCTCAGAACAGAGGCACTGAGAAGAGTGTGATAAATTTATAATCGGCGCAGGTTTAATGCTACAAGCCTGACCTGTGAGTAATCTCCTGAATAACCTTTAATGAATAAGTATTAAGTTGATAGACATTGGAAAGAACTCCGGTAACCTAATTTCACATCCCCCACCCCACCCATGATGGTTTATAGCCTCTGTGTGCTCATTTGACACAGGAAGTGATCAACTTGTTTACCTGGCTGTGTTGGGCATAAGTTCTTAGGTTAATAATTGGTGCTGTAATGATAATTTTAAATCAATATAATGATTTCCATTTCTGTTCATAAAAACCAGTCTGCATCCCAGTGTGGTAGATGATGAGTATAACTTTCTCCATTTTATAGCTGGAGAAATCGAGCCAGGAAAGAGTGATGCTGGAAGGGGTACTAGTCAGTGAAGTGCTGGTAAATGTTTTAACAACCACCTCTCTGAGGGAAGAAGTCCTGTTCGTAGTGGGTGCTGATTTCCATCATGTAAATACTCCCACCTTGGCTGGTTCAAGCCACCAACATGGCATCACTGAACGCAGAGTTGGGGAGAATTGCACATAGCACCTATGAGCTGGTACTAGCTGGCTGCAGCATATAATTGGCACTGATGATTCCGTTACTGGCTTCAGGCTCTTGGATGACCACTGAGGACCAGCTCCGACCACTTTAAATCACAATTTAACTCTCAGACTCTGCTCAGCCTCTAACTGCATTTCCTTGAAGAATGTTTTTCAAACTTTGAGTTGTAACCCATTAAAGGATCCTGAAACTAATTTAGGGAGCTGAATGAGCATTTTTAAATGAAATAGAATAGAGTAAGACAAAAAGAATAGAACAGAACAGAAAATATCAGAGTGTAGTCTACATGTTTCAATGATAGATGATGGACAGATGGATGGAGGGATGGATGGATGGGGTGGGTGGGTAGATGGAAAGATGGATAGATGGATGGGTGAATACATGTCTGTAGTAGGTTGGGGTCAAAACTAAAAATACTGACCCAAAAGCAAATGTACGTCTGTTTTCTCATCTGAAAAATTGAGTTAGTGGAGTTGACGCCCCCCTGCCTGTGATCAGGCCAGAGGCTGACCAGATCACTCTGTGATATTGAGGTGGCAGTGCTAGCCCGCTATCTAATCCAAAGTGGATCCATTTGTGGGGGGGGAAAACAGGCAAAGCAGACAGGTTTGGCTTTGTCTCTTTGGGAAATGGTTGCACATTGTGTTTGGAACTGGAGAGAGTCCCATCTTCATTGGGCACTCAGCCACAGCCTAGAGAAGTCTCCCAGGAGCTCTCAGCCTTCCTCTGTCCACATGTGTACACATACACACACATGAATTTCTGCAGTCAGAAGGATCAACCTTCCTAGGTCTACTGTGCTCCAAGGGAACTAGTGATTTTTTTAAAATAAGAGAGGTAATAATGAAAGCTTTCTCCACACTCTTTCCTGAGTCCCTCCTGGAAAAAGGTACAAGGCCAAGCAGTGTTTAGGAGCCATCACAGCAACCCCATGAGATGAGACAGAGACTGTTAGCTCCTTTCAGAGATGAGGACACTCAGCCTAGGAAAGGCTAAGCAATGAGCCCCATGCTCCCAACCTTTCCTTCTGACCCCAGGCCAGTGCCCAGGCCAACAGCCCCTTCAGAGCCTCAGGACAGCCTGTTAGTCACCCAGGAAACCCTTCTAAACTGGTTTTCTCATCTGTGAAATGGGATGTTGTTCTATGTAAGCAGCATTTTGCTGAGAAAGGAGAAGTGGCTTTAGAGTCAGAGTATCCGGGAATCTCATCCTATTTTTTACAAATCACTGCCATGAGATTGCAAGCAAATGACTTTACTGTCATTCCCTTGCATGGAAAGTGGCGATGTTGACAACTTCAAAGGATCATTATGAAGATGAACTAAGATAACGTTGTCACATCACAAATCTGGAGAGAGATATATTAACATGTCAACAGTGCATATCACCAGGTGGTAGCATTACAGGTGGTTTCACTATTCACTTTTTTACCCATGTTTTTCCAGTGGTGCACCAGTAAATATTTAACAAAAGAAAAACAAAAGGCCGGGCGCGGTGGCTCAAGCCTGTAATCCCAGCACTTTGGGAGGCCGAGGCGGGTGGATCACGAGGTCAAGAGATCGAGACCATCCTGGTCAACATGGTGAAACCCCGTCTCTACTAAAAATACAAAAAATTAGCTGGGCATGGTGGTGTGTGCCTGTAATCCCAGCTACTCAGGAGGCTGAGGCAAGAGAATTGCCTGAACCCAGGAGGCGGAGGTTGCGGTGAGCCGAGATCGCACCATTGCACTCCAGCCTGGGTAACATGAGTGAAACTCTGTCTCAAAAAAAAAAAAAAAAAGAAAAACAAAAAGCCTAATTTGTAGTCTTTGCCCATTTCCTTGGTGTAAATACTTCCACCATGGCTGATTTCAAGCTACCGCCATGACGACACTGAACATGAAATTGAGAAGGGACATGCGTGATTGGCTCTCACAAGCTGGCACCAGCCCACTGAATGTTTTGCTTGGGGGCAAATTAAGAGAGAGAGAGAGCAAAAGAGAATTAGTTAGCAGAGCCCCTATCATTATGCCTGGCCTTAGTTCCCCTCGCCCCCTGCTCTCCCTCGCTGCTTTGTCCCCCAGCCCACATTGCTCTAATGAAACAGCACACTGCCTGTGAACGCCTAGCCATGTGAAGTGGTGGGCCTCCTGGGAGCCAGCTGCCTGTATTTGCTCCCCATCAGCACGGCCTTCAGGACCTGGGCAGCCTGTAGAGGAGATCCTAAGGTTGACTCACTGAGGAGTAATCAAGCAGACTCGCAGTCCTCTCACTTTCCACGGGAGACATGCTCAGAGCAGACACATGTGAGGTTGAGGCTGACGCTGCCCTGGAGGGAAACTAGGAAAAGCCTCAGTGAGTGAGAGGCCTGGAGGGGAACACATTCCCAGGTGGCCACACTGCCTAAGGAGCTGAACCTTTACCTTCCACTCACTGATGTAACAGACCTGTGTAGGGGTGGGGGTGGGGAGACGGGATGGGCTCTGCAGGTCTCTGGAGGAATACGGAAGAATGGGGCATCTGGCAGCCTGACAGGGCCCCACAGGTCACCCAGCATGTAAGAGAAAGGTGCAGGAACAAATTCCCCACCCGCTCCAGTGTTGAGTCTCAACCTCCCAGCACTTGGCAGTTTCTGGCACAAGAGTAGACGTTCAAGAAATTTTTGTTAATGCTTGGTTGGGTTTGTTTGTTTGTTTGTTTTTAATTATTTTTAATGATCACCTTTTATTCCTTCATAGCTTGACTTGTTGCAGAAGGGATGTCAGGCAGCCAAATAAATGCTTATTGAATAAATAAGTAAGTTGTAGCCCTCACCAGCTCCCGGTTTTACCTGTTCCTGGATATAAAATATGACTTTAAGTCGAAATGAGACAGAGTGTTAGTCAAGTTTGCTGGTAATGGTATTTTTCTTTAATTTCTTCTGTATTTTCTATATTTTTCCAAATGTGTTTTCAGAGAACTTGGATCCCTTTTGTTTTATTTAAGAAAATGAATATGTGTTACAAAAATAAACAACCTATAAATTAAAAACAAAACAAGAGTTGTGTCAACAGTTAAGGCCCAAGAAGAGTGGTCTCCATGGCTCTGAGGCTCTGTATGAGGGTCCTGCCTGCCCACAGGGTGTTGCTTGGACCCAGTATTGGGCTCGTCTCAGCCTCTCTTCCCACAGACTCCCCGCCTACCAGGCCCTGACTAATAACGCTCCCCTCCAGCATCTCCCAGCACACAGTGTGTGCCAGTCTTGGAAGTGGCAGTGGCGAGAGATGAGGGGAATGATAGGCCACGCCCTTTAAAATACAGTTGGGCCTGTGTCCTGGCCACCCTCTGTGAGGCACGCACCTGTATACTTTGAATGGTGAACTGTAGGGTATGTGAATTATATCTCAGCTGGGTTGTGTAATCCCAGCACTTGGGAGCCAGGAGGATCACTTGAGCCCAGGAGTTCAAGACCAGCCTGGGAAACAAAGTGAGACCCCATCTACGAAAAATGTACAAAAAGCAGCCAGGTGAGGTGGCTTGTGCCTGTGGTTCCACCTATTCAGGGGGCTCAGTAAATACTTACCCAGGGAATAATGGGTCATGACAGCAGCAAACGAGCCACTTGCCTAACCGCGTGTTCAGCAGACTCCTTCAGCCTTGGCATGTCCCTCGGGTGATGGGGAAACCTAGGCACTGCCGAGGCCAATTGAGGGCACCTGAAAACCTGGGGAGGCCACTGAGTTGCCTGCCCCCAGGCAGGCCAGGTCCACTCTTTCAGTCACAGCCTTCCCCCCCGGGCTAGCAGGGGCCTCACCCCTTGCCTGTGATAAAACTGCAGGTTCCATTTCCCTTGAAGCAGCAGGGCTGCTCCGGGAGCACAGAGCCTGGAGGCCTCCCAGGCATTTGTTGGGTTTGCACCTTCCCCTCCTCTGGCCTAGGATTGCACTTAGGGGAACGATCATGTTGGGGGGGTTTCATTAAAGTCACAGGTTGAATGTAGCAAATCAAAGTTCGGTGGGGGTTCTCAACCAGAGGAGATTGAATTCCCCCATAACCCCTGCCAGTGTTTATGGCTGCGCTCTCAAAGCCAGTCAGCTAAGAGGAGGCAGGGCAGAGGTGTCCGCCAGAACCCGTCTCCACCCAGTGGTGCACAGCTGTGACTATGGGTTTCTCGTAACTGGCCTTTTTCTTGTCAGATAGATAATTTTATTTTTATTTTTATTTTTATTTTTGGACAGGGTCTCACTCTGTTGCCCAAGCTGTAGTGCAGTGGTATGATTGTAGCTCAGTGCAGCCTTGATCTCCTGGGCTCAAGTAACTCTCCTGCCCTCCAAGTACCTGGGACCACTGGCACAAGCCACCTCAACCGGCTGCTTTTTGTACATTTTTCGTAGAGATGGGGTCTCACTTTGTTTCCCAGGCTGGTCTTGAACTCCTGGGCTCAAGTGATCCTCCTGCCTCCCAAGTTGGGATTACTACAATAATCCCAAGCTGGGATTACTCCACCCAGCTGAGATATAATTCACATACCCTACAGTTTACCATTTAAAATATACAGTTCAGTGGGTTTTAGTCTGTTCTCAGAGTGGTGTGACCATCTTCACTATCCATAATCTTAGAACATTTTCATTGACCCAAAAAGAAACTCTGGACATTTTATCTAAATGGGGTCATTCCATATGCAACCTTTGTGTCTGCGTCTTTTCATTTAGCCTAATATTTTCTAGGTTCATCCACATTGTAGCTGGGATCAGTACTTACTCCTTTCAGTGGATGGACAGTGTTCTGTGGTCTTTTGTTTATCCACTCATCAGTTGGTGGCTGTTTAGGTTGTTTCCACTTTTTGGCTGTTCTGAGCAGTGCTGCTGTGAACATCTGTGCACCTATGTGTTCATCATCTCGGAGATACTGCCACATAACTGATCTTTTAACAGGACGCACCTGATCACGCCACTTCTTTGCTTAAAAAGCCCTATTACTTCCCAGTATTCTTAAAGTCAGAGTCAGAATCCTCACCTGGGCATGGAAGGTTCATGGCTTCTGGACCTGGCCAACTTCACCCTTCCATTTCCCCTGTTCTGTTCCAGCCAAGAGGCCCCAAGCCTCCCTCTATGCACAGAACCTCCTTCCTTGGCTTCAGCTTCGAACTTTCTGCCTTCCCCTGCCCTTTGCTTGTCTAAACTCTACTCATCCCAGAGTCTCAGATGGCCTGCCCCCTCCTCAGGGGAGCATTCTCTACTGTCTCATTCTAGGGCCGCCTGCCGCACACTCCCAGGGGACCCCGTACATCTCTGCCATAGCCCCTAACACAGCTGCAGGCAACGATGACACCTTGGTGGTCTGCCTAATGTTTCTCTCTTCTGCGACCTTAAGAAGGAGAGCAGAGAACCCATTCTTGTTCCCCAGTTTTCCCCAGCACCTAGCACAGTGCCTGGCACATGCAGATGCTCAGCAAATACTTACCAAATGAATAATGGGTCACGATGGCAGCAGATGAGCCACTTGTTTAGCCACTTGTTCAGTGGACTCCTTCAGCCTTGGCATGTCCCTCGGGTGATGGGGAAACCCAGCCACTGCCGAGGCCAAATGAGTCCTCCTTCTGTCCCCAGCCAGATACACTCACACTTCCCTGAGGGACCCCTGCTTATGCAGGAATGGGTTTGGGGGAGTTCCGCCCAATGCTGAGATAAATAGAGCCTCAGTGAATCCCAGCTCACATGTGGGTTCTCTCAGGACAGGGTGAATCCCAAAGCACGTGACTCAGAGCCCCTCGACAGCGCGTACTGATCAGCAGCAGCCGCAGTCCATTTCCAGGGGAGAAATGAGGAGGGATTCTCTGAGCCAATTGCTTCTCTGAGAGGTGGGGAGATGCCTTCTGACAAACCGAGTTCCCTTTAGTAAAGATTATTGCCTTGCCGAGTGTTGTGCTTGAAAAACTGTCCTTGAAGAAATTCCGAGAGGAAACTGTACACCTTCTGAGACTTAATTGCTATTTCAAAAAACACTGTTTTCATTTCCCCCACAGATATGCACTTATTTGGCCATTACCCAGCACATGACGACTTCTATCTCGTGGTGTGCAGTGCTTGTAACCAGGTCGTCAAGCCACAGGTTTTCCAGTCTCACTGCGGTAAGTGGACTCCTGCACCGGCGGGCACATCGGCAGCTGCCACTCTGGGGACAGTTGCCTTCCCCCAGGCTCCCCGACAGGGTCTGCCGTGTCTTGTCTTAGCCTGAGGCTGTGGGTAAAGTCTTCCTGGGTGGCTGCCTCTGCTGGCAAGCTAACTCAGGGGCTGCAGTCCTTCTGCTGAAGTGCGCGGTCCTATCCGAACAAATGAGAGAAAACCTACAACTTGTCTTAGTCAATGGGACTAGACTGAAACCATCTGCCCAACTTGGCGATGGCCTCTGCAGGTGACCAGGGGGAGAGGAGAGCTGCTTAAGGAGTCACTCCTGCAGCCAGACCTTTTCTCCCCCTGAAAGAGGGCCAGGAGAGAGTCTCCCCAGAGTTATACAAAGACGGGCTGGAGCTAAGCGCAGCCAAGTGTGTGGGCCATTGGGGTGCTGCTCCAAGGACATGGTGCCATCAGTAAAACCCTTACGTTCCAATTCGCCTTTCCCAAAAATCCCCCTTGTTAAAAAAAAATGCAGGTGTGCTGGGGAAGTGCTTTCTGTCTGTGTCTTAACATCCTTGATGTAATAAATTCCTTCCGCTGGTCATCAACAAACCATGCAGCTGCCATGGACAGAACAGATAAAGTCCACTTGGCTGCTCCCCTCTGGGATGAATAAAAAGCCATTTGGCCTTAGACTAGAAGTCACTTAACCTCTCTGGGTGGAAGTTTCCTTATCTTTAGCACGAAATTGGATCAGACAATTTCCAAAGCTATAATATGCTGAGTCCAGTATCTCCCAATCTTTTTTATTTAAGCCGTATTCCCTTTGGTTGAACGTAAACTCTGAATGCCCTCCTCACCATTAAGATTTCAAAGTACATTTTATTGTGCCTTAAAAAAGTCAAAGCAATTATAATATTGAATATGCTTTTGCAAATTACACACTTTCCCCCTTTCTCACACTCCGAATCTCTGACTTTCCTGTACCTCTTCGGTTATCATTATTCTATAATAAAATAAAGGGAGTTGGGCTTATCCAAGCTCTTTAACAGTCTCTCTGTATACTAATTATCAGTTGCAAACACGTGTGTATGTACGTAAATGATATATACATATCTACGTATATATAATCCGTATCTGTGTATATACTGTAGGCATATTTTGTGTTTATAATGTATAGAATTCAGGCTTAAGGAGCACCTCTGGGAGTGAGTCCAAGACTTTCAAACCAGCACAAGGCAAAGAAAACGTCCTAGAAAGTGCTGTACGTTGCGCTTTAGTCAGAGGCCAAGTGTTCTGCCCCTCCCTGCAGCCAGCGTTATGTCCTCAGGCTACTTGCTTCATGTCTCAGGGCTTTGGTTTCCATGTCCCCGCCATGGGGAGATGACTTCTGTGGGTGCGTCTAGCTCTGACATGTTCGTTCTGGCAGAGTGAGCAGGAAAGGAGCAAGACATGTCCCCGGCACAAGTCAACCTTCTTGCTCAGTGCTCTGTAGCAAATGACCTTCTCCACTGCCTGGAAGAGAGAAAAGGTTAAACCTCCCCAAAGAGAAACTGTCAGAGCTTGGTGGCGGTGCCACCGGCTGAGTTGACAGGTGGAGAATCCAAAGCACAGCCATGGCAAGAAAGTCCCACCCAGCCAGTGGTTCAGTGACCAGGCATAGAAGCTCCATGGCCAGTGCTTCTGTGTCTTGTGAGAATGCAGAGGCTGTATCATCCTGAATGTGATTTTCATTCACTCATTCACAAGGATGGGCAGCTATTATAGGCATGAAACAGGGGTTTGCGTTTTACTGTAAGCCATCAAAACCTTCACTGGGGCTGGGTGCAGTGGCTTATGCTTATAATCCCAGCACTTTGGGAGGCCAAGGCAGGAGGATCACTTGAGGCCAAGAGTTTGAGACCAGCCTGGGTAATGTAGTGAGACCTCCATCTCTACAAAAAAAATTTTTTGCCAGGTGTGGTGGCATACCTGTCAGTCTCAGCTACTGGAAAGGCAGAGGGGGAGAATTGCTTGAGCCCAGCAGCTTGAGGTTGCTGTGAGCTATGCTTGTGCCAGTGTACTCCATCCTGGGCAACACAGCAAGACCCTGTCTCAAGACAAAAAAAAAAAAAAAAACAACTTTCACTGGGAACTTAATTCACTGGAGTCTTTGATGGAAGGATCCTGAAAGAGACCCAAGACCTGGCATCCCACTGGCGCCTGCAGAATTCTGCCTAGGGGAAAGGTCCGAGATAGCCAAGGGAGGAGGCTCTGGGGCTTGGTGGAGCTGATATACCTGCCTCCCCCGACCCTGGGGCTTTTGGTATAAAAGCCAAGAGTCAGCTTAGGGGACAGCCTATTCTTTGGGGCTCTGAGCAATGCAGTAAATTAGTTTGGGGGTTTGGGGTTACTGACCTCAACACTCAAAGCCCAGTCTCCATTAAGCTTCTTGCTGAACCAGCTGACAAGCAGCAATGGGGACATGACCACAACTTGCAAACTGAGATACCAAGCCTCCCTCAGCTCTAGGTGTGTGTCCTGGTACAAATGCAAACTTACGTTTATCAAGACCAGGAGAGCGCCCAAAGCAGAGGTCAGAACCATCACAGGTGTTTGTGGGGAGTGCTTTTTAATGTCCCTAAAAAGTCCTTTGATAGCTTCGTGATTGTCTAAGTCGGTTCAGGCTGCTATAACAGTATGATAGACTGGGTGGCTTATAAATGGATTTCTCCCAATTCTGGAGGGCGGAAGTCTGAGGCCAGGATGCCAGCACAATCAGATTCTGGGGGTGACTCTCTTCCAGCTCACAGGCGGCCAGCGTCTTACCGTGTCCTCACGCAGTGGAAAGAGAACAAGACAATTCTCTGGGGTCTCTTTTATATAGGCACTAATCCCCTTCATGAGGGCTCCACCCTCATGATCTAATTATCTCCAAAGGCCCCACCTCCTAATACCATCACGTTGCAGGTAGGATTTCAACATCGGAATTTGCAGGGGACATAAACATTCTGTCCATAGCAATATTCTCTTTTTTTTTTTTTTTTGGCTCTTTCCTTGCGGGACAGGCCTTGCTATTTTCTACAAGTTAATAAGAATGCCAGTGTGCTGAGTGCCAGATGCTGTGCCAAGTGCTTTCCATGTCTTTTTGTTGTTGTTGATGTTGTTTTTTGAGACAGTCACCCAGGCTGGAGCACAGTGGTGTGATCTCAGCTCGCTGCAACCTCCCCCTCCCCAGTTCAAGCAATTCTCCTGCCTCCGCCTCCCAAGTAGCTGGGTCTGCAGGTGCCTGCCACCACACCTGGCTAATTTTTGTATTTTTTGTAAAGACGGGGTTTCCCCATGTTGGCAAGGCTGGTCTCAAACTCCTGACCTCAGGTGATCCGCCAACCTCAGCCTCCCAAAGTGCTGGGATTACAGGTATGAGCGACCACACAGCCTTCATCTCTTTTAGCATGTAATCCTTTCAACAGCCCTGCCACATAGGTGTTAATATTATACCCATTTGGTAATTGAGGAAGCAAAGGCTTAGGAGGTCAGTGTTTTGCTCAAGGCCTGGAAGCTAGGTGTGTGTTGGCTTGATTTTGGGCACAGGCCAACACCCCTTGTTTAACTGCAGAAGTTTTTTTCAAATGAAATCTTCTATAGAACTCCATTCTATAAGTATGTATGGGAAGCAGAGCTGCTGGGGTCGAAATTAGGGTGGGGGTCCAAGCCCCATGGGCGCAGCCTTGTCCTGACTTTCCTTCCCCCCCCCGTCAGGGCTCCACAGAACATTATTTGAAGATTGTGGATATAGAGGAGAGAACATGGGCTTCAGAATGAGACAAAGCAATTTATGACTCCCCCACTCACTGTGGGACCGTGGGCAAGTCACCTCATCCCTCTTCACCTCCCCTTCTTCATCTGTAAAATGGGTACTCTGCCTGCTGCGGAGGGTTGTTGGGATGATGTGACTGATATGAGGCTTAAGGTTCATTTTTTCCTCCTTCTCTCCATGGAGTCTTTCCCCATTGCCCCCAGCTGGATGTGACTCTTCCTGCTGAACATCCACAAAACTGTTCTTCTGTGCCACTTCCCCTCCTGCCATGCCATCATCTGTGGCCTGATCCAGATTCTAGGATTCTTTCCTGATCAAGGATGTACCTTTTCAGTTCTGTGTACTCGGCGTTCAGAAAGTGAACTCATCCTAGGTGCATGGCAGTGTTCAAGATCTCAGTATACTAGTCATTTAACTTAAATTGAAAAAAGTGAGAGTGTGTGTATATGTGTGTGTGTGTGTGTGTGTGTGTGTGTGTGTGTGTGTGTGTGTGTGTGTGTTTAGGCAGTCAGTTGTGGGAACTTCAGAAATTTGTGGTTAAAGGAAAACTGTTTCTTACTCAACACCTGTGATACCAAATTGTGAGTTTTCTATACCAAGGGGATTCTCTGCTGGCACCAATTCAGTGGCCGATGATTTAATTCAGTTCTGACAATAACTACGCAGAGCTGGGGCCAGGCACCGGGGCTTACACCTATAATCCCAACATTTTGGGAGGCCAAAGCCAAAAGAGTTCAAGACCAGCCTGGGAAACATGTTGAAACCCCATCTCTACAAAAAATTTTAAAAATTAGCCAGGCGTGTTGGCATGTGCCTGTTTTCCCAGCTACTCAGAATGCAGAGGTAGGACAATCACTTGAGCCCAGGAGGTAGAGGTTGCAGTGAGCTGTGATGGCGCCACTGCGCTCTACCCTGGGTGACAGAGTGAGACCCTGTCTCAAAAAAATACTACCCAGAGTTAGCACAGACCCCACAGGTTAAAGGCTCAGTCCCTCAGAACTGCACCCCCACTTCAGATGCCAATCACAATTAATAGGTTTCCAGGTCACCCACATTTGTGTCTGGATTGGCTACACATTAGGGGCTTCCACAACCCCTCCTTGGGAGCAATTGGCTATAACAACTCACATAATTCAAGGAAACACTTTACTAATGTTTGCTAATCAGAGATGATAGGGTGAGGTCTGGAAGAGTTCTAAATGCAGGAGCTTCTGT